AAAAGATGGAGCTTGAACTATGCAAGTTACAGACGAATCAAAGCCCCTAAACCAATAAATTGATTTCTTTGCGAGCGTCTTCCACAATTGAAGAGGGCCCTGAGAGCTACCTAGCAACAGTTTGTCACCGTAACCCGTGGGATGACACATTGAGGAGATGTCGAAGACATTCGTAGAAAAGACAGTTTGAGAAAGACTTTCTAAATGAAAAATAATTAAATCTGCAATACACTGCTACCTCGTGTTTGCAAATTCCAAAGGATAAAGAGTCCGGCCTCATCGTAAGAGGCAAGGTAGCGGTCCTCAAAAGCAATAATCTTCCGAATGGGAGAATTGTGACCCTCTAGTTTAAAATGTATGTGATGAAGCCCACGAAAAGCGTAGATGACGTTTTTGGATGCCCCATAGACATATGAACGATCGGATGTGAAAGCGATTATGTTGGTCGGCAAACAATCACCTAGAGCAATTCTAAGACAAGAGCAGTCTTACTTATCCCAAGAAGCCTGAGATTCGGAAGCTGAAACAATAGATAAAAATGGTCAGATACAGGTTGTTCCATGGGGTTAGCATCCTAAGAACATATACCTGATAAATGTTGAAACGTTCTCCCACAGGAACCAGCACATTATATTCCTTGGAATGTGGCTTGTACTTCACAACAAACGGGACATCTGAGGAGACGAGCCCAAGACTCCTGTAGGGACGAAATATTACAGAGGACAGAGTCATGCCACAGAAACGTTCTCATGCATTGATACGCTGCGCCGATAGATTCTAGTATCCAATTGGTCTAAAATTCGAAAGCAACTTTTAACAAAAATAATTTCAACTGCGTATTTACAAAATAGAGGTCAAAAAGGTAGTTATTCGCAGATTCATTATTATATGTTTGTATTACCAACAAAGTGACAACAAAACCTTTTAATGACCTTTATGAATGTCTTATAATTAAACCATAGTTTAAATTGCGTTTTGTGGTAGTAAAGCGAGCATTTAATTGGGTCGAAGGCTTTTTTAATTGTGGCTATGACTGAAGCGCCTCTAGAGTGAGAAAATGCACTAATTCGGGCCAACTGCTTACAACCTGGGAGGCGAAGAAGACGTTAAACTTTGAGTTGGCTCAAAGGCTAGACCCTCCAGGCTATAGCAAGCTTAAGGAAAATGTGTGCAATAATTGATTTGTGTATCTTTCTAATGGCTGGTGGTTACTTTGGTTTCGTCTTGTCCTTGTACTCATGGGATAGCCCTCGGGTTATGCAAAGGTCCAGTTGCCCCCTTCCCCCTAGGGTGCTGCATTCAGTCTCACGAATACATTGGCTATATTTGAAGCATTGTCCACGATATTCTGAAGCTTTGATGGCCAGTTCTAATGCTATGTTGGTCTAACTAGATTAAGGTTATTTTATACCAGCCGTTGTAAATGTACCTTAGGCGTGGGTTTTTTAGTTTTTTGATACTCCTTCCAAGTTCTACAGCCATCCTTGTAATATATTCTAGTTGTTTAAGTGGACTTTTATAGGCGAGAGGCGGAG